CAGAGAGCTGTTCAGGAGGACATATCACTCTCAACTGGTACTTCCCAGAATGCCACGCTGCTCCAGATTTGCCAGCCCCTAAATGAAACCCAGATACCCAGTTCCTCTTACTTTCTGTGTATGTTCCCCAAGTCAGCCCCCCAAGCACCACGAGGCACAGACAGATACTGTTAGAGGTCCAAGAACCAAGTTATGGCCCAGTTCTACAAGGCCGGGTACACAAAGCTCTCCTCAACATCGGCTCTGTGTCAGCTACAGTGCTTCACCTCTACACTCCAACATGTACAAGGTTCCTTCTCCTGACCTCTATGTTTCCATTGCTGGGAAGTCCAGAACACCAGATGGTCTTGCTCTTCATGACCAATATGTGCTCCCAAATGAATAAGCCAGAGACTAATCTCTCTATGTCCTGCTGTGAAGCACAATTTGACGCTTAGACCTCTGACGCTGTCCTCCTATGCCTCATGGTGGCTGCGTAGCTGACTCGAGGGACAGTCATGAAAAACAAGGCCAACTAGGGATCTGTGGGTTTCATTTGAGAGCTGGGAAGTACCATCTGGAAGATACACATGCCTGAGAGTCCAACTGTGTCACAGAGCCCAGCTAAAAGAAAACTTGGATCTGATCGTTGACTTCTCCAAGCCTCTTCCTCTAAAATGGTAGTGACTGTACAAGAAAATCTGTTGTGGAAACAAAAATAGGTGTAGTTCAATGGTCGAGAGCAGGTGTGAGGTACTGAGTTCAACTCCCAGCTCTGCACAGACAAAACCAAAGCAATCAACTAAACAAACAAATAAACCAAAACAAAAGTTATGGCAAAAACTGAAGAGAAGAAAGCCTCTGGCTCATAGTACCTATACCATTGATAATGAATTGTTTTCCACTGTTAAATCAACAGTACATCTTGAAAAATCCACCCACTAGATAAATTGCTTACACGATGCTGGACAAACATGGATGGAGGTCTTCCTCTCTGAGGCCTTCTGGAAAAATCAATTACTCTCTGCTGGGCGGTGGTGGCACATACCTTTAATCCCAGCACTCAGGAGACAGGCAGGTAGATCTCTGAGTTTGAGGCCATCCTGGTCTACAGAGTAAGTTCTAGGACAGCCAGGGCTACACAGAGAAGCGCTGTTTTGAAAAATCAAAAGAAAATCGGTTATTCAAAATATTACTCACTACCTGATGCCAGACATGTTACAACAGTGTGAGGTGGATTATAAAATTATTGGGCAGCTGGCTGTAGTCACAAAGACACATCAGTCTTATCTCTGCATCTGTTTGCCATGATGGGGAATAGTTTTGCAGTTGGTGGCTCTCATCCATCCTACAACGATTTTTTTCTTACTAATTTCAATCATCAGTTATGACCCCTTTAAACTCTTTGTTTGGTTTGGTTTGGATTCTGACACTGGGTTTCACCGTGTAGCTCTGGCTGTCCTAGAGCTCACTCTGTAGAACAGGCTGGTCCAGAACTCACAGAGATCCGCTAGTCTCTGCCTCAGAGTGCTCAGATTACAGTCATGTACCACCACACTTGGCACTTTTCTACTCTCAACTGCAGAGTGTGGGGCCCAGAGATGCCTATCCATTGCCCTCCTAGAATGGGATTAACAAGATCTCTGGGTTGTTGCTTCAAGCTTTCCTTGTCAGAATAAGTATTGCTGGGATCAAAAAAGATGAGAAACTATAGCCTCTTGGTTTTGGTGCAGGTGGAGTGGGCAGTAAGTCTGGGCCAAAGTTTGTGAACCTTTTTTTCTGGGAAGAAGACTGCCAGCTTCCCTTCCTGATTTCCCTTGTTCAAATAACACATACAAGCCTCAGTCAGAGGAGATAATTACTAAAAAATACATCTAGCAGCCATTACTGGATGAGTCACTCCTGCACTCCAGCAGCTGTTGCCATGGTTTCAAGGCTGAATCTTCCTGCTCTCTGCTCCCTCTGCCCTCTATTCAGTTAATTTGTCACTTTGCTTCGCACTCCTCCACAGTCCGTCTCCACAGATTGATGCACACTTAACCCTGTATGGACGCTGCCTTTTTTTGTTGCTTCTTTCTCAGATAACATTGCCTTTTTCTTTTTCAGTGTTTTTTTTTTGAGATAAGCTCTCATGTAGCCCAATCTGTCCTTGAACTTGCTATAGAATCAAGGCTGGACTTGAATTTCTTATGTCCCTGCCTTTATCTCCCAAGTACCAAGAGTATAGGCCACTTTACCTGTCTTTCCTTGAATTAAAAAAAATACATACCAAGAGATAAAACAGAGCATGTTAACAGAAGAAAATGAAAGTCATACATTTACATTTCAAAATACTGTATGCAATTTTTAACCATTTTCCACCCAATTTTTTGTGATGTATACTTCATACTTGACAGAATATATAGTTGTTTTTTAAGATAGGATCTCATATAGCTGAGGCTAGCTGAGGATGGTCTTGAACTTCTGATACTTCTGCCTCCATTTCCCAAGTCTGGGGATCTAGGTATATGCCATCACATCCACTTTTACATGGGCTTGCAATCAAGCCCAGGCCTTCATTCATGCTAGACAAGCACTCTACTAACTGAGCTATATCCTCAGCCCTAGTACATGATTTTATATGTCTGGTTGAACCTGCAGTGGACCTTCTTTCTTTTTCTGGAGCTATTGGTTTTAAGGCACTGCTTTTGACAAATACAGTCATACAGACAAGCTTGATTATTATCTATGTAGCTGTGATTGTCTACTGCAATACACATACATTTCATAATGGACCAGGCCAGGGGCAGTATCATCCATTCACTGTGGTTCTCTGTCATGTCCTGTAGATGCGCGGGTGTATGTTCACATACAAGTGTGTAGCATGCATGTGGAGGCCAGACGTCAACCTTGAGAGTCATTTCTCAAGAGTTCACTCTTCTGAAATCAAGCCTTTCATTGGGACCTGGGACTCTTTCAGATGGACTAGCAACCTTTCTGTGACTGTGTCCCCAGCACTGGGATTATGAGCACACACCAACATGTTCCTTATTTGACATCAGTTCTGGGGATCAAACTCAGGTCCTCGTGCTTTCATGGCATGCACTTTAGTGAGCTATGTGTAAGGATGGGATGGGGATTTGGGGACTCGGGAGTCACAGAATACTGAGTGTTGCAGCTCTGATGGAATGGTATTCTGGAGCTCAGGAGCCTAGGAATATCACAGGTCACAGTAAGCATAACGGTTTACAGCCCTGCTTCAGGGAAGGCTTTCCTGTTATATCAGCTCTGCTCTGGCAGGAGAGGGCTTCCCCAGCAGAGTTGTTACAGTTCTGCTCTGCTCTGCCAGAGAGTGGAGAGAATTGTAACAACTCCACTCGGCCAGGGGAAGGTTTCCCCAGCACTCTGCCCAGGGTCGTCTTTGCTCGACTGCCAAAGAATATCTCATCCAAACCTCGTTCAAAAGATGTATTGGGAGGGAAGGATCCAGGAGAGTGGCTGCCTCTGCCAGGGTGGAAGGAGGCAGCAGGACAGCCACAAGCTGAACAGACACAGGGTTTGTATAGGGATCCTTAGGGGGCAGAGATTTTTTCAGGGAGATTTCCGGGGTAGGGATTGGTCAGATTTCAATCCCTGAGTTTAGGATGGCTAGATCTCCTGCTCAGGGATTGGTTAGTTTTCTGCACAGGATTAAGGTCAGATTTGGCTCTGGTTTTAGGGCCAAAGTGTGTTTCTTTCTCTGGTCCTTTTTAGCCTTTTGGCACCAATTTTAGGGCCAGGGTGCATTTCTTTCACTGGCTCTGATTCCAGGGACAAAGTGTGTTTCTTTGGCACTGGTTTCAGGGTCAGGGTGCATTTCTTTGGTTCTGTTTGCAGGGCCAGTGTGTTTCTTTGGCTGAACCTTTTTCCCTATACTATGTGTGTAGAGCCTGTTTTGATCTCCCTCCCCCTACCCCCCCCCCGTTTTGTTTTGTTTTGTCTAGACAGATTCTGGCTGTGTGATCCAGGCTGAGCTCAAATTTTCGATCTCCCTAGTGTTAGGATTACAGGTGAGTACCGTTACCCTGCTTTCATAATGACTTCTGTTACAGGCAATGGGATGACATAGGCTTAAAAAATTCCTGTCAACTGCTGCAAAAAAAATAATAATAATAAAATTAAGAGCCACTAGGGAATGCAGGCTTGTGTTGGCAAAACGACTGGAAAAAGAGACCATCACCCCAGCTCTCCCTGCTTTTCCTTTGTCTGGCATCCCCAGGGTATTAGCAAGAGCCCACGCCAAAAAAAAAAAAAACCCGCAATGGCCTAAGGCTCGCACTGCGCAAGCGCGGAGGAAGCGGCCAGGGCCAGAGCGAGCTTGGAGCTGGTTCAAATGAGGTGGTAGGAAAAGAAGGAGGAGCGCAGAGGCGGGGCTTTCTCGCCTCTGCGCAGCCTTTGTCTCCGCCTCTACGCAGTGCTTCAGTTTCTTTATTGGTTAGACATCTCCTGCTCTCATTGGTCAAGAAACTAAAGGACTGGGACTGCCCCAAGCTATGCCTGCTTCCGGAACCGCGGCAGAAATGGTTAATTTTGAAGTTCCTTTCAGGCATTGTTTAGAACATACCTTAGGGGCCTGAAGGGGCCTTTTTCTTGCACCGGAACAGATCAGAATTCTCCGGCAAGCTTAGGAGATGCCGCCGAAGGGGAAAAGTGGTTCTGGAAAAGGGGGGAAAGGTAGAGCGGCCGAGACGATCAGGGAGCGTGGGGTGGGTGAGGAGAAGGGCGGGAGTAGGCCGGCAGCTATGGGGGGTCATAATCCAGGCAGCAGGTGACGAGGGGCCTCCAGAACCGCTATGGTTTATGTTTGGGGTTCTTCCGGTAAATCAAAAAGTATAAATGCGCTCGGGGCTGCCGTGGTTCCGGGAACACATGGGATTTCAGTGCAGGGACCGTCGTGGCGGGTAATGGCTGGTGGGGATGGTTCTGCTATTTTAAGAGTTTATTGCCACCAAAATTTAATCTGATAAACGCCATCAATAAAAGGAAGCCCACAATAGTGGTCTGTACAGGTCTCTTTAGCATTATGACGTGCTCCTCCCACCCGCATTGACGAGGGTTGGACACCCCGCAGTGTTGTAAGGCTAGAAAAATAAGACACAGCTCTTACTCTTCGGCATCCCAGGAAGTAGTGGAGAAGATAGTAGCCGGAAAGTACTGTACTGAATTCAGTGCTGAGAGATAGGTATATTATGCAAGGTGGAAAGAGGGTGAGGAAATGACCTGGAGATACTTCAGGCAGGCCAGGATAAGCAGCGACACTAGGGTAAAGCATACTCGACCCGGAGAGTCTAGCCCCAAAAGCACCGACGGGAAACAGACAAATTATTGAGTGGGGAAATCTAAAGCAGAAGACTAAATCATTGGGAGTTCTGTATATGATGTTAATATCAGTTAAGGGCCAGGAACCCCTTGAAAGAGGTCATTTCAGTAGTTCTTGGAAGATAGAGGTGGCCTGAACTCTTTGGTTGTGGGAACCCAGAGAAGAGACAAATAAAGGGAGTAACCCAGAGGCCCAAGTAACCAAGGTGTTTTAAAGAAAGAAGGTATGAGAAAGGGTGAGTTGCCACAAACCCATGCCACGCACGGAGCTTGGGAGGCTGAGGTAGGATCTGAGTTTGAGGTCATCTGAAGGACATAGAGACCCTGTCTCAAAACAAGCCAAAATAAATATGAAGATAGAATGATATGTGGGGAGTGAAAGACCAGGAGAAAGTTGTTCCCCCCATTTTGGAGATCCTCTTTTTGTCCTTCTTTAGCTGCTTACTTTCTGATCATCCATCACACATTCCCTGCCTAACTAAAATGTCTGTTTCCAAATTCGACTTCCACAATTTTTCACCTGTTGGATTCTCAGGAATGATGTGTCTAAGTGGAATTCAAGTTCCTTGATGGCAGCTATGAATGTTATTCACCTTTTATTTAGGAAACTTTTGTTAAACTGAGTACTTAATCCAGAGTAGTTCTTAGACATCTTGGCCTCTAACAGTTAATGTGCTGCCTATTGGACACAAACATTAATAAGATGTGCTTCCAATGCTTGATAACCCGAATGTCAAAAACTTGCCGGGAGGACATCAGAGGCATTGTGGTAGACTGCAAAAATTTGGGCATAAGTACATTCTTTAGGTACACATACTTTGTAATAGCATCATTCTTGGAGATTTCATATGTTAGAATTGTAAGGGTCAGCCGGGCGTTGGTGGCGCACGCCTTTAATCCCAGCACTCGGGAGGTAGAGGCAGGCGGATCTCTGTGAGTTCGAGACCAGCCTGGACTACCGAGTGAGTTCCAGGACAGCCTCCAAAGCCACAGAGAAACCCTGTCTCGAAAAACCAAAAAAAAAAAAAAACCAAAACAGAATTGTAAGTGTCAAACACTGTCACAGACTGTAATAGAAATTATATAATTTTATATAATGGCAGCACTTAGTGTTCTGCCATTAGAAGGCAAGATTTGTGATGGGGTTGGGAGAATCTGGACCAGGCTTCTGGAGCTCATTCATCATACCCACATTTATTTCTTTTTCTATTTTCTGTGAAATGTTTTGTAGGGCACATTTCCTGTTATTAGAGATGAGTCACAGAGTAAGTTAACTTGATTGTGTGACTCACCCACTATGTAGCCTTTTGGAGCTTGGGGCTGTAATGGAAAGATCACTTTGTATTATGAGTTGGACCTATCTATAAATGTCAAAGTACATTTGAAATGAGTACCTGTCCTCTCTTTTCTAAAGGAGGTGCAGCCTCTGGGAGTGACAGTGCTGACAAGAAGGCTCAGGGTCCTAAAGGTGGTGGCAATGCAGTAAAGGTGAGTTATCTTATATGTATTTAGTGTATGATGTGTGAATGCATTTAAAAGGCAGTGTGAGTAACTTGTTCTTATATAAGAGACTTAATGCTAAGGGTAAAGAGAAGATGATACAAGACTGGAACCCAAAGACTCACTTTTTGTTGTTTTTGTTTTTCAAGACAAGGTTTCTGTGTGTAAGGACCCTGGCTGTCCTGAAACTCGCTCTGTAGGCCAGGCTGGCCTCAAACTCAAAGAGATCAGTCTGCCTCTGCCTCCTGAGTACTGGGATTAAAGGTGACTACCACCACTGCCCACTTCAGTCTTGATTTAAAAGCTAGAATTTTCACACTTTTAGCACTATTATTTGAAATGTATTAACTTAGGGACTGGGATGATAGCTTAGAACCCACATAAAGAAGCTGGGGATAGTGGCACACACTTAAAATTCCAGCACCAGCCTCGCACAATTGGTGAGTTCCAATCCAGTGGATCCTCTGGAACTGGAATTACAGATGGTTGTGAGCCACTTTCTCTGCACTGAACCTAAACTGCTGGGACCTGTTAGGGAGACCCAGTCTTGGTGAGGGGAGCCCCAAACGTGGTTTGTAACCTTAGGATGGTACTCAGCAGCCATTTCTTATTTCCTTTAAGCCTCACAGAACTGCGCTGCAGTCAGCAGGTAACTGGGACCAGTGCTCATCACACCCCTGGAGAGTTTAACCCTCCATGCGCATGGGCACCTCAGGTCCTCTGCATCAGGCTCTCTGGGCCTGAATGTCTTTTTTTAAATATTTTATTTATTATGTATACAGTCTTCTGCCTGTGTGCCAGCAGAAGGCACCAGATCTCATTCAAGGTGGTTGTGAGCCACCATGTGGTTGCTGTGGATTGAACTCAGGACCTCTGGAAGAACAGTCAGTGCTCTTAACCGCTGAGCCATTTCTCCAGCCCCTGAATGTCTTCTTAAGAAGCTCTGAAGCGCCGGGTGGTAGTGGCACACGCCTTTAATCCCAGCACTTGGGAGGCAGAGGCAGATGGAACTCTGAGTTTGAGACCAGCCTGGTCTACAAGAGCTAGTTCCAGGATAGCCTCCACAGAGAAACCCTGTCTTAAAAAAAGCTCTGAAGCTTTTGCAAATGTGCTGCCAGAGTTAAACAAACACCAGTCTAGTGCCAGGGCTTGGTGTGAGGACTTGAGATCATTCATGTAAAGCACTTAGCACTTCAAAGTTGTCTTGACTGTGTGGCTTTAATTCAATGAGATAGAAAAGAATAAAGGGCTAATAGCATAACTGGACTGAGCATCTTTCTTTAAAAAAGGGCTATTTTCAGAAATCTTGGACCCAAGTAACCTGGATGGAGAACAAAGGAATTGAAAATTCCTGAAATAAGAATTTACTGATTTTACAATAAAAATAGTATTTTCTTTTTTTTTTTTTTTTTTTTGGTTTTTCGAGACAGGGTTTCTCTGTATTGTTTTGGAGGCTGTCCTGGAACTCGCTTTGTAGATTAGGCTGGCCTCGAACTCACAGAGATCCACCTGCCTCTGCCTCCCAAGTGCTGGGATTAAAGGCGTGCGCCACCAATGCCCGGCTAAAAATATTATTTTCGTAATAATATTTTACAATAAATTACTTAGTGATTAATTGACTTAGTTTGAGAACTAGTTTCATTGCTGAGTATTTAATAACTTACCAATTATTTAGTAGTATTTTCACAAGGAGCGGAACGCCGCAATCTTCAGCCCTTCTCAATAGTTATTTTCCTTGGTGCCCCGGTGGTTACATCCCCATCATCTCCTCTGTCTTCTCCCTCCCTTTCTTGTTGTTTATTTAGAGACAAGACACTGTAGCCTAGGCTGGCCTCAAACTCATGTAGCTAAGACTGGCCTAGAATTCAGGATCTTCCTTCCCCAGCCCCTAAGGAGCTGGGTTTATGGTACACCGCCATGCTCAGTGAGAGGAGCTGGGTGCATGGTACACCACCATGCTCAGTGAGAGAGGCAGTCTGAAAGCTATAGTTAAGTCATACTGAGATCTGAGCCATTCTTGTCCTCCAGCAGGCTGTCCCTTTGCTGTCCAGATTGTATACCTGTCTCTAGATAGGAGTAGACACATTCTATACAGGGTGCTTGCCACCAATCCTTATGACCTGAATTCAGTCCCCAGGACCCACATGGTAGAAAGAAAAACTGGCTCCTGCAATTATCTTCTGTCTTCCTCATGAGTATTATGACACACATGCATACATACAAAAATCACACAAACATGTAAAAAATCAATAAATGGGTTAAATTTTTAAAGGGTGTTTGTTGGGCCAGAAAGATAGCTCTGTGATTAAGGGTATGTATTGCTTTTTTGGAAGACCTGAATTCAGTTCCCAGCACCCAAGTCAGATGGCTCCCATACCTCTGGCCTGCAGGTACCTGTGTGCACATGAACAAACCCATCCACATAGATACAAAACTTAAATAAATCTTAAAGAAGTTTGTCTATGCAAGCTGTTTTTTACATTTATATTTTTTGTCTGTGTGTGTGCTCATGCATGTATGTATCCATGTATACCATGACACATGTGTGAAGATCAAATGACAACTTGTAATTGGTTCTTCCTTTTCACCATGTAAGTTCTAGAGATCTGACTCAGGTCATCAGACTTGGCAGCAAGTGCCTTTACTCACTGAATCATCTCACTGACCCTCTACACCCTGTTTTTGATGTTACCACTGAAGTATGTGGAGAAAGGTGGGAGATTCCCACAGGCAGCTGCCCACTTTCCATCTAAATCAGGCTCCTGAGATACTGCGTGATAGACAAATGGGCTTGTACAGTCACCCAACTGGGCAAACTTGTAGAATGTTCAGTGATATGAGTTAATGCGTTGTTTTGTAGTTACCTGGGATAATTCAGATGTGACTCTTACACCAAGAAGAATCAGTTTCCTCTCCAAGAACTAACTGGACATGCTTTTCTCTTGTAGGTCAGACACATTCTATGTGAAAAACATGGCAAAATCATGGAAGCCATGGAAAAGTTAAAGTCTGGAATGAGATTCAGTGAAGTGGCCACACAGTATAGCGAAGATAAGGCCAGGCAAGGGGTATGTTGCACTTATTTAAATGTTCTTTTGTCATGCTAGGGGTTTAAGGTAGCATGCATAAAACCCTGAGTTTGAGTGCCTGCATTGCAAAAAATAAGTTTCTTCCACAAAGGAAATACAAAAGCGGGATTATTTTCTACATTCTATCATGAATTGTAGCCATATCTGTTTCAAGAAATAGAAATGTCTAGCTTGTGGGACTAAAGTTGTAGCTACATTTATGTGACATGTATAAAGCCCAGGGTTTGATCCCTAGTCCCACCACTCTAACTTACGAGCAGTTGCATAAGAACATCTATGTTGAAGAGGAGGAAACAGGAAGGGGAGATGGAGAAGGGAGAATATGTTCAAAGTACAATATATACTTGTGTGAGACATGTCCTTGTGAAGCCAAGGACACAGTCACCTGTGTCTTAGTGTAGGTGTGACCAACCTTTCACAGATGACTTCAGAATACAGCAGTATCATGAGCACTTGTGCTCCATCCAGTCTTAGACTTCTTCCCATTTGTCCTTGGTGATACCGCTCCTACATAGCCCAGATGAATAAATACAACCCAGTGAGCCATTGTATTCACATTGGGAAAACTCTCGGAAGCTAGTTCTCTTTTTAAGGCCACTTGTTATCTTATGTCTTTCGGATTTTTTTCAGGGTGACCTGGGTTGGATGACCAGAGGGTCCATGGTAGGACCCTTTCAAGAAGCAGCATTTGCCTTGCCTGTAAGTGGGATGGATAAGCCTGTGTTTACGGACCCACCAGTTAAGACAAAATTTGGATATCATATTATTATGGTTGAAGGGAGAAAATAAAATCACATGAGAGACGGAATAAGTGTTTTATATTTTGTTTCTCTCCTTAAAAGTTATGAAATAACCCTGTTTTGTGAACTGTCGATGTGGGTTTGGTCAGGTGGGTATCAGTTCTCAGTCACTTTCAGTTATCAGTTCTCAATAATGACTCATAGACTCCTTTTAACTTGAGTTCCCATTTTCCCCAGATTAACTTTGACCCTCGATGTGTCCCATAAAGTAACTCTGAAGCCATCTTCAGAGGAGTCAATTTTTAGGCCTCTGAAAACCTTGGGCACCTAGTAGATGAATTAGTACATGAAAAGCATCATTCAAGTTAGTCAACTCTGATCTGCCAGGACAGGTATCACTAGCTCCATTGTCTTAATATAGTGTACATGGCAGCCAAGCCACCATTCAATGTCAACTTTCCCCTTTTATTTTTATTAAGGTGTCTGTGTGTTCATGTGTGTGCCTATGTGTGTGGTACCCATGAAGAACAAAAGAGGGCATCAGATCCCCTGGAGCTGGGGTTACAGGTGGTTGTGAGCCACCTAACATGGGTATTGGGAACCAAACTGATCCTCAGCAAACACTTCTGAGCCATGCCTCCTGTTCCTCAACTTTCTCCTTAAATAAATGTCTGTCAAAGAAGGTACTTGAGGGGTGCCAGATGGCTCAGCAGGTAAAGGTGCCTACTGCCAAGTCTGATCGCCTAAGTTTAGTGCCTGAGACCCACATGGTAGAAGAGAACTGTTAACCATAACTTGTCCTCTACCTTAGTTAGGGTTTCTGTTGCTGTGATAAAACACTATAACCATAAGCAATTTGGGGAGAAAGGGATTTATTTTGCTTACACTTCCATACCACAGTCTATCAGGGACCTGGAGGCAGGAACTGAAGCAGAAGCTATAGAGGAGGGATCGTTACTGGCTTGCTCCTCATGGCTTTCTCAGCCTGCTTTTTTTTAGCGCCCAGAACCACCAACACAGGGGTAACACCACCCACAATCAGTCAGGCCATCTCCTCAATGAAAAATGCACCACATGCTTGCCCACTGATCTGGTGATGGTATTTTCTCAACTAAGGTTCCCTCTTCCTAAATGACTTCAGCTTGTATCAAATTGATATACAACTAGCCAGCATATCCTCTGACTTCCACGTGCATGCTGTGATACAGAAGGACAGACAGGCACATACGCACACAAACTAGTATAATTTAAGATTAGGGAAAAGAACCAGGCGGTGGTGGCTCACGCCTTTAATCCCAGCACTCGGGAGGCAGAGGCAGGCGGATCTCTGTGAGTTTGAGGCCTGGCTGGACCGACAGCCTCCAAAACAATACAGAGAAACTCTGTCTCGTAAAACCAAAAAAAAAAAAAACAAGATTAGGGAAAAGATATTTGGCTCTCCCGTGGGGTTGTCTGTACTAGACTAAGCAGGTATCCAGTTGCTGGCTAAAGGCACAGAAGTCAGCATAAAACACCTCCTTCATGCTCATTGCATGCTATGTGGTTGAGTTTTGTTTTGCCAGACTGCCTGTAGTCAAATCTGTGGGACACTTTTCTTGATTAATGATTGATGTGGGAGGTCCAGAGCTGTGTAAGAAATCAGACTGAGCAAGCCAATAAGCAGAGTTCTTCCTTGGCTTCTGCTTCGGTTCCTGCCTCGAGTTCCTGTCCTGACTTCCTCCAGTGAAGGGGTGTGACTTGGCAGCTGTAAAAAGAAACAAACCCTTTCTTACCCAAGTTGCTTTTGGTTGTGGTGTTTTATTACAGCAATCGAAATTCTAACACACATGAATTGCAATGTGATCCTTTCCATGATGAATATTCTCTTATCTATTTTAAAAACTGTGTGTTCAGCCATGTTATGTACATGTGGAGGCCAGATATTCTTAAGGAACTGTCTATCTTAGTGGATTTTTGTTTGAGATGGAGGAGTCTCTTATTAGCTTGGGGCTCACCAATTCAGCTGGGCTGGCTGATCAGAAAGCCACAGGGATCCTCTTGTATCTGTCTAACACTGTAACTACACCAGGTTCTGGGGAATGAACTAGTCTTCATGCTTGTATAGCAAGAACTTCACTGACTGAACAGTCTCCTCACCCCAATGGAATCTTTATTGCTTTATATATAGTTAAGTCTACTTATTTATTTTGTATGTGTATCTATATGTGCCAGACAACTTACTGAGCTGGTTCTCTTTCCCCATATGGGTCCTGGGGATCAAACTCAGGTCTTCAGGCTTGGCAACAAGTGCCTTTACCCATGGAGGCATCTCGACATTTCATTGTGTCTATATTTTAAAATTTCTAACTGCTGTATTTATGACATAAAAATGTATAATGAAGCCAGGAAGTAGTGGCGCACACCTTTAATCCCAGCACTCTGGAGGCAGAGACTGGGAGATCTCTGTGAATTCCAGGCCAGCCTGGTCTACAAAACTATACAGAGAAACCCAGTCTTGAAAAACCAAAAAAAAAAGCATAATGAATAATAAAATTCCATACTGCTTCAGAAATAAAAATTTGTCAGCTGATTTATTTTATCAAGAAAGGGTTTCTCTAATAGCTCTAACAGTCCTGGAACTCTTTGCAGACCAGGCTGGCCTCAAACTCTCAGAGATGTGCCTGCCTCCCGAGTGCTGGGATTAAATGTGTGCGCCACCACCGGCCTCAAGAAAATTACTTTACACCTACCCTGTGAAGGCAGTCTTTGTGGAGCTGAAGCCTACATCTCAACTCTGGGTAGTATCTGAACTGTATTGCAGGGCATTGGTTGTTTTAGTATGGCTTCCCACTACCACACTGGGTGTCAGAAGTGATGAAAAGAGACCAGTGCTACATAGTTGCTGTCCATTCAGGACAAGGTTAAGTCTGTTTCATGCCTTACTGTCTCATCATGGGCAGTTCACAGACCTCCACCTCAAAGGTTATGGTAAGGGTTACACAAGATGTCATCAATATCCAGTAGGCACTTTCTAAACACTAGTTTTTGGGTGACAGTGTGCACTCGTGTTTCTGAGGGTAAATTAGATTCTATCTAGTCACAACCCAAAGAGAGGATGTGGTAGCATCAAAACACCAGCGTAAGTGGGGCAGAGTGTCGAGCACCTTCAATCCCAGCACCTGGGAGGCAGAGGCAGGTGGATCGCAGGGAGCTCCAGGGCAGCCAGGTCTACATAGTAAGTTCCAACACAGCAAAGGCTGTGGAGAGACCTTGTCTCAAAAAACTAAAAAAAAAATCCCAAACAAAAAGCCCAGAATCCAACCAAACCCACAGCATAACTGGTGTGAAGGAGAGCAGTCAGGGTGAGTGAAGAATGACCAGGGAAGGCCAGGGGGGGCTGAAGAATGCCAATGCAGGCACTGTCCGAAGCTGAGCCGCAAGCACAAACATCACTTTCCTAGGGAAGTCTCAGGATCTGGAATGCCAAGTGACACACTCTCGGAAGTGAAGAGTTTTTGTATACACCTGCCTATCACCTCATGAAAGAAAATGAATGGAAAAGAAAACACTTGAGAAAAGTCACTTTAATTTTCTCATCTGAGCTGACAAACAAGATGGTCCTTTTCAGAGTGAAAAATAACCAGGATAGTTTCACAAAAACTTTAGGAAGTAGCAATTAAAAATAAAAAATACTTCTGAAAGTTTGCAAAATATGCCTAAAAGGAAAAAAAAGAAATGTTCAAGTGAAGAAATACTGAACAAAACCTCTATATTCAGTCTCATTTTAGACACACTAACCAGGCTCTGAAGTCCTCAAGTGTTGTTCAGTTGCTTATACAAACTTAAAGTCATGAGCATCACCTCGGGATCTGCACTCTTTATGTCAAGTGCTTTAACCAAGCAGTTGAGAGCCTCCTGTACCTTCCCACACTCTTTCAGCTCTTTTCCACGAGCTACAAGTGTCTCATAGTCGTTAGCAGTCTCCACTGCTGGATCCTGAGGAGGATCAACCAAAGGGTCACTTGACAAAGGTTCCGAGGTACAGGGAGAGCTCTTCAGGACCAGAGAACTAGGCTCAGACACAGTCAAGCTGCTGGGCTTGTTTTCTGAAGCCTGTGTTTCCCCAGAGGGATTCTCTTCTGTGCCTGCTGAGGCTTCATCACTGCTCTCTTCTTCCGAATGACCCCGAGCACTCTCCTCCTCACTGCTGTCATCAAGCCTTTCCTCCATGTCTTCCATGTCATCTAAAACCACATTGATCAGAGACTTCCTAGAAGCCAAAGATCTCCTAGAATTGAAGGATGTATTCACACTATCAGGTATTTTTGGCGAAAAGAACCTTGCAGATGGATTGGCATCATTTTTGGGAGTTGAAACATCAAATTGCTTCACGGATGAGAACTGAAAAGGAGAGATGCTAAATGAACTTGTGCCGGAAGTACCTTTAAAAGCATCTTCTTCATCTTCATCATCTGAGAGGATCCTTCTAGCTTTGCTCCTGGTTTTCACACTAATCACTTCTGGTTCTTCATCACTCTTATTAGAAGAATCCAAACTGAGATTAAGTGCTGACTCTGCCCTGGAATTAGCTGCAGGGCTTTGCAAGCTATTTTCTTTCTCAACATGTTCCAAAAACTTGCTGGAGAGACTCTGTCTAGTGCCTGTAGAGTCTTCCAGGAGAAGATTGAAATCACATGCATACTGTGGTGGTGATTCTAAAAGGTCCTCTTCCAACTCCAACTGCGGCCTCACTCCCAGCTGGGCCTCGCTTGCTTGAGCACCCTGCAGTGCACTAGGGGACGCTGACAAGACATCAGATATTTCAATCATGTGCACATCTGATTCTATGTTTTGATTTTCATTTGCTGTGGGACTGCAATGATATGAAAGCACACTATCCTCTAGATTTACATCTGGCTCAGGATCAGCGTTGATAGGCTGTGTAGGTAAATAATTAAAGCTTCCTAGGAGGTTCTCTGGCAGGGCCTCTTGCCCAGGCGACGCTTGTAATGCCTGCTTTTGCACAGCTTCACTTTCAGCTGCAAAACATTTTGTTGGTCCCAGTAAAGAGTCATTCCAAACTCCTCCT